ATATTTAGAAAAACACATTTATTAATAAAAAAGCACTATGAGTTTATGCTTTCAGTTTTGTCATTATGTCTGGATTTATTTACATTTATTGCTGGTTCTTTTGTGTAGTTTGGGGTCAGATGATAAAACATGTTGGAACCATTGATCTCACCCATTCATTAGTCAGTGAGTTAATTTCTGTGCACTCGGGAGCAGATAACTTAATGAGAAGACAACAGAGCAGAAACCAAAAGAGAACAGGATGAAACAAGTCAGCTGAAGTCTCTGTCAGGTGAAACAGTAAAAAGCAGCTGTTCTGAAAAGTATTTGGGTTGAAAAACTCATCCAATCAAATGAAAAATGCTGCAAACTTTTATTAGACGACAATAAATGATCTGAAATCCGACAGTTGGAGAGGAGATTAATAGAGCTGCAGATGAAACCAAACAAAGTTTTTAAGATGTTTGATTGAGAAGAAATGTTTCAAATTCCACACCTGACTGCAGCGTTTATCGAGTCCTTCAAAGCATAAACTTGACTTGGGAAGAGTTTTAGTTTCTGTTCAGATGTTCAATGAATCTGCACAAAGAGCAGCAAATGTATAAACTTCAAAGTCCTGTAGTGATGTGGCTGTAAGTTCTTCATTTGTGCCGACTTAACTCTTTAAAAGTCTTCATCCAGCCTCTGAAAATCTGTGAAACACACAGAATGTCTGATTTGTTTTGTCAGTTAAGATATTTAAGAAACAGTAATACAGGAGTTAGGAGGCACGTTCTGATAAACACAGGTCTACTTTAGTTTTATGTGATTTATAACTAATATTACTTATTGAAGGCGGCACGGTGGTGCAGTTGGTAGAGCTGCCGCATGACAGTGAGAATGTCTCCGGAATGAATCTCGTCCGGGGGGCCTTTCTGGGTGGAGTTTACATGTTCTCTCCTTGCATGTGTGGGTTTTCACCAGGTACCCCAGTTTCCTCCCACAGACTAAAAACATGCACGATAGACTGATTGGTAACTCTAAATTGTCTCTAGGTGTGAGTGAGAAAGTGAATGGTTGTTTGTCTCGTTTGTCTCTATGTGTCCCTGTGATGGATTGGAGACCTGCCCAAGGTTTCCCCCGCCTCTCCCACAATGATTGCTGGACATGGGCACCAGTGACCTCC